TTCTAGATTCACATAAATAACACTTAGCGTCCCCTTATTTTAAAATCCTTTGCGTATTCTCTCTCTCTCTCTCTCTCTCTCTCTTTCTCTCTCGCGCGCGCGCGCATTTCGTAATTCAAGAAAGTTAGCACATCGTCTCGGCTCGCGAGTAAAGAAATCTCGACCACCAAGAATCCGTTGCTAGAATTACAAGGGTGCGCGTTGTGTCGAGAGACCAGCCTGCGTATTCTGGACGCCGGGAGTCTCTCCCTTTCTCCCGCTTTCGCTCTCGCGTCAGGGATGCGACGTCGGCGGCGCGTCGAAGGGAGAAAAAGGACGAAGGACGAAACTACGAGAGAGGCGGCCGGACCAGAGCGATCATCTTTTCGAGGCGCGGGTTTTCGCACCGTCGCGTGGCACATCGCACGCGCGTATCGTTAATTAAAATCTGTCGTCGGGGCGATGCGGCTGGTGGGCGCTGCGAAAACGGCTGACACGACGGGCAGAAAGGCCAGGAACGGGTGAAAAATCGCGCTAACGAGACGGCTTTCGTTATTGACTGCGAGCTGGATGCGATACAAAGAACTATCGTTATCGAGAGACCGTACCTGTCTTTCGCACGATGCGCGCGTGAACGCGCCGGAGCTCCGTGCCGCTTTTAATAGAGCCCTTCGCCGTATCGACGTGTCATTTATTCGTTAGCGCGCGGTGCTCTCTCTTTCTCTGTTAACGGGCGCCTCGAATCACGCTGTTGCGCGACGAGTGAATTGTAGGAGTCGCACTCGAGATAACTCGCCCGGCGTGTCGGACGTTGGTCTCTAAATTTCTTGGAGCGGTGTCTCCCACTCAAAATCCGGTGAAAAGTGGCGGTATTTTCACTCGAAGCAATAGTGAAAATACTGCCACTCGAACCGCAAGAGGGAATGTTTCACTCGAGCCTGGAGTGGATTCCGACTCCATATGAGCGAATGTTTCAATCGATTAGAGCGAATACGTTCCTATGACGGTGGAGTACGTCAGATTCACTCTTCAATTTCGAGTGACAATATTCACTCTACGATTCAGAGTAGAGAAGTCAATATGTGCGAGCGAAAAATCACTCCAAAGTGACTCGAGTGATTCGGTGGTCACTCTATTTTTAGAATTTTGCTCCAAGAAATATAGCTTTGCTTAAAATTTAACTAAAGCTTTAATTGCAATAACCACAAAATATTTTATCAAACTATACACACACATTTTAATTCTACATACTGAACTTATATAGTCACTTTATAATTACCATTAGCATGTTTTTCTTTGAGGGTAGTTTGCTTTATTAAAAGAAGGATATTTTTTTGGTTAGACTTTTCGCTTAGAATATGGGTTTGCAGGAAATAAAATAACTTACTAGAATCTTTTTTGGGCGTTGGAATATTTTCCTTTTGGGTTTAAAAGGATCCTTTTGAAACCATTAGAAGATTTCTTCGCTAAGGAAAAGATCATTTTCTTTAGATTGAATGGTCAATTGTAGTTTTGTTGGCTATTACTTTAGTTTATTTCCAATGCTAGGTCTTCATAATGCGTTAAATTATCCATTATCCTAGAGAGAGATCGTTTCAGACTCCGGAACCGGGCAGGAAGTATCGTCCTGATAATGCGTTCTGTTAATGGAATTACCTCGTACGTTCGATTGTATCACGTGGATGTATCGTGCGCAGTTAGGCGACCATAGTGAAGGTTTTAAGACCCATCATCAGTATCAGCCGTGAAATCCGGATATTGACGGTTCTAGTTTATTCCTGCCGGATAACGAGTACCGTCGAGTAGTAGCAGGTACTCGGCGAAGCGCCGGCAACACTCGCAATTCGCGGCAGCTGCAAATGTCAGGTGCACCACAAAGGTGTATGTGTGTGAGAGAGAAAGAGAGAGGCGTTGGAAGTCATACGCATCTGTCGCGTTTATTCCCGTAATTTATACGGCGCCTCCTCATTTGCCTTGGTTAACGATCGATCTGTCACGATGCATGTAGAAGCCGCGGCTTCTTTTATCTCGCGTTTGTTTACGATTGGCTTCGTTGTTTACTTCGCAAAAGTTCCGACACGCGAGAGGGTACGACCTCAAAATCATCGGTCTTGACATGTTTATATCCTGGCACTATTGGGAAAACAAGTTCTATAAATTACAGAATATGTAGGACGCCAAAAGGGAATTTCTAAGTTTTTTAAAGAAAGTTTTTTAAAGTTTTTTGTATTTAATGACCGGAACTATTTGAAATTCTTGCAAAGAGCTCTAGAACTTTTCAAGAGAGTATCAAAACTTA